CCGCGAGTTCGATGATCTGAGCGAGTCTGAAAAAATGAAGGCGGCCAAACGAGCATCCCTCTTCTCGCGTGTCGAGCCCACCCACAAGCAGAAGCTCGTCGACCTCCTTCAACAAGCGGGTGAAGTTGTTGCCATGACTGGTGATGGTGTCAACGACGCGCCGGCTCTGAAGAAGGCCGACATTGGTGTTGCCATGGGCTCTGGTACCGACGTCGCCAAACTCGCCGCCGACATGGTCCTGGTGGACGATAACTTCGCCACTATTGAGGGTGCTGTCGAAGAGGGCCGTTCCATCTACAACAACACCCAGCAATTCATCCGCTACCTCATTTCCTCAAACATCGGCGAGGTCGTTTCCATCTTCCTTACGGCTGCCGCTGGCATGCCCGAAGCCCTGATCCCCGTCCAACTCCTCTGGGTCAACTTGGTCACTGACGGTCTTCCCGCCACCGCGCTCTCTTTCAACCCACCCGACCACGACGTCATGAAGAGGCAGCCTCGCAAGCGCGACGAAGCGCTCGTCGACGGCTGGCTGTTCTTCCGCTACATGGTCATCGGCACTTACGTCGGCGCCGCCACGGTCTTTGGCTATGCGTGGTGGTTTATGTTCAACAGCGCCGGCCCGCAAATCTCCTTCTACCAACTCTCCCACTTCCACCGCTGCTCCACGCAGTTCCCGGAAATCGGCTGCGAAATGTTCGCCAACGAATCTTCTCGCGCGGCGTCGACGGTCTCGCTGTCTATCCTCGTAGTCATCGAGATGCTGAACGCTATGAACGCCCTTTCGTCCTCGGAATCCCTGCTTACCCTGCCCCTTTGGGAGAACATGATGCTCGTGTATGCTATCTGCTTGTCTATGGCGCTGCATTTCGTCTTGCTCTATGTTCCGTTTTTGCAGGGCTTGTTCAGCGTCACGCCGCTGAACTGGCACGAGTGGAAGGCTGTTCTGGCCATCTGTGCACCCATTATGTCAGTCACCCTCCCTTCCTCTTTCACACTTGGCTTCGTTTGCTAACTATGAGCAGTGGAATCGACGAAGTCCTCAAGTTCCTCGAACGCAAGTTTTACACAAATAAGGGCTCTGACCTCGTGGAGCGATATGAGCAGAATGGGAGCGCGAAACCTAAGGCTGAGTGAAGTGGCTAGGGGGTGAAGGGGGATTGTATCATATTAGGCAGACTAGAGCTGTGTTGTTGCATTGCGTTGGCAGCTGCATTTAGGATATACATCACATACATAGATATACAAACCCGAATACGTTGGGTTCAAGCATAGGACCCACGCACAAACGGGCATAGTTTCAGGACAAGTGCCCGTGGTAAGAGGAGGGTGGCGGTTGGAGTTGCATGGCATGGCGATAGAGACGGGAGTGTGTATAGTCTGCTAGAATATGTAAAGAATCCAAATCCAAATGTGAGTGTCGTTGAGCCAACCATTAACATGAAACATCTACATGAATCGCCTTCTTGAAGTTTGATATTACAGGGTGATGCGGTAGCTAGCTGTTCGCGCCCGCAGAGCTTCCTACGTCTTCGTAAAGAACCGCTGCCTAGTGCCCACCCACTCGGGATATATATCGTGTACCTATTATAATTACACTTGGATGCCCAAACAAAAACCTCAACGGCGCATCGCGACCCTGTCTGTGCTGTCAAGCCGTCCACCCCTGTTTCTGAGTCCCTCCCCCGGACGCCTCGGGACGCTCAAGCCGCGCGTTCATCCCACCGAGTCTCTCCATATTAAAACACTAAATTCCACTGCATGCCGGCGGATTTCGCGTTCCCATTACCATTACAAAACACAGCAGCCTCCTCGGCGGGGGGATAGTCATTTCTCTTCCTCTTCCTCGTTATCCGTGCTCGTACTACTACTGCTACTACTCTCATCCTCGCTATCATCCTCTTGCAGCCCATCAGGCAACTTCTTCTTCGTCGTCGTCTGCGTCAACGAGAACGTCCGTGGCTGTGGCTGTGACGGTGCAGAGGACGCGAGACCCTTGCTGTACGTGTTGTGCAGCATGTCTTTGAGCGACGTGTACGATGTGCGCGGCGGGCGTACGGTCTTGGAAACCCCGGGAGAGTGCACTGTGCGGGATGAGGGCTGAGAGGCAGAGGGGAATGCGCGGGGTGCGGGTAAGGGTACGGGAGATTGAGAGTGCAGAGTGCGCAGGGAGGGTTGCGATGCAGAGGGAATGGAGGGTCGGTTGAGGAGCGCCATGCGGGTTTTGGAGTGCTCGGGAGAGTTCACGGCGCGGAAAGTGGGCTGCGACGACGAGGGGACCGAGGTGCCGTTGGGCTGCGTCGTGCGTGGAAGTGGTTGAGACGCTGGCACATGTGTTTGCTTGGGCGTCGTCTGGGACGCGGGGACGACGACGCTGGCTGGGACCTGGATGGAGGCATCGGGAGGCGTGGGTGAAGGGGTGCGGTTCACAAGCGGTTGTGTTGGTTTGCGATCTTCCTGCTCTGAGAGTGAGGTGGTGCTGTTGGCACCACCATTCGTGTCCTCATCGTCGTCGCTGCTGGGGTCTTCGTCATCGCCCGCCTCGTCTTTCAGGTGAGGTTGTGGCGGCGAGACAGCTGGCGACGGAGAAGGAGAGGAAGCTCGAGATGGGGTGGAGGCTTCTGAAGTCGCTTGGCGGAGGCGAGAGGGCGAGTGGGCTGTCCACCGTGCCGGCTCTCGCGAGGCAAGCGGGGATGAAGCGAATCGAGATTTTTTCTCGGTCTCTTCATCGGCATCTTCGTCTGCATCAGCGTGGGCGACTTCCTCCTGGGTATTTTCTACTTGAGCATCTTCATCGTCTGCATCTTCGTCTGCAGCAGCCTGGGCGTCGGCGTCGTCGGCATCTTCGTCTGCATCAGCGTGGGCGTCTTCCTCCTGGGTGTTCTCTATGTGAGCATCTTCGTCGTGAGCATCCTCTTCGGGAGCGTTCTCCATGTGGGCGTCCTCGTTGTGAGCGTCCTCATCGAGAACATCCTCTTCATGGGCGTCTGCCTCGTGGGCCTCCTCGTCTTGGGCGCTCTCTCCGCGGGCGTCATCGAGAACATCCTCTTCGCGGGCGTCTTCTTTGTGGGGGTTCTCTTCCTGGGCGTCTTCATCGAGGGAGTCTGCCCAGTAGGCGTTCTCTTCGTCGGCGTCTTCGTCTTTATCACTTTCGTCATGAAGCTCGAAATCTCCTGGGCGTGTTAGCAGCCAGAACGAGCATGATCTGCCCTTGGATAAAACAGCCAACTCACCTCGACCACTCCGCCTCTTCTGGGCAATATCATACTCATTCAACACCCGCAAGAGGTACTTCTTGCTGCGCTGCCCGTTTCCTCCAAGCGGAAGGCCACGACCCTTGACCACCTGTACCAACGTCGCGTAGCTGAGCTTCTCGTAGGGATTGGCCGGAGCGGCAGGACGGACGAGTCCCAGCTCGGGGGATCCAGACTTTGCGCGTTCCCTGAAGTCGGGCTTGCTGCGGCGAAGGGAGTCCGGAGGAGATACGGAGCTCCGCTTTCGCTTGCGGCCCACGCCTTTCTTTCCACTCCAAGTAAGCCCTTCACCGGCGATTGGGGTCATCTCTTGGCCCAGTGCGCGATTTCGAGGGGTCGCGCCATAGCTAGACCGGGGCGCGCGTTTCGTCGGGGTCGGACGCAGGTTGCTCGTGGGTGGCAGAGACGCGTCGCAGGCACGGTAGCTCGGAATGACGCGGAGAATGCAGTCCGTGACGGGCACATTGTCGAAGACGGCGCCCACAGTGTCGGTGAGATCCACGTCCGCGTGCCAGCCATTTTGTAACCGATCGATGCTGAAGAAGGCGTATTGCTGCGGCCAGAGATAATTCTTTTTGTACCGCTCTTCAATCTTGTACCATACGTCTTCGAGCTTTTCCCTGTCGCGGACAACCAGTGCAAACTTGCGCGGCTTGGAAACATTGGGCTCCGCTTCAGAGATGGCGTCGTCGTCTGTCGCGACGAGCGGGGGAACCTCGACCGTTACTAGCATTTTGCGGTGATGCGCACGGGCAAATGGCACGCACACGCAGGGCGCGTGAGAGTCAATGGGTATGTGGGTTGCCGGCGGCAAGCGGGTTGTCGATTGCGTTTGTTTTAGATTGTGACGTTGGCGGAAGGCCAGCGCGCCTCTTATCGATAAGAGAATGAAAGCGATGGTGACTGTAAACACAACACCATCGAGAATACAAAGTTCAAACATGTTTCCCCTATCTTCCAGTGCAAATGCAAAGGCCATTCCGAACATCTACGGAACGCTCTTTGCTGCTACTAGATAAATGATTCGATCTAATGGGTAACCTTTTGAATAGGTAACATATCCTCACCACCGTTCTGCCTGGGCAGAACCATGGACTGCCATATACATTAAGAAATTATACATAATTGGATATGTCCATATGAAACCTGCCAGAAGGGACGCTTGCACTTTGCCGGCACATGACTTGCTTGTAGCTTTTTATCCCCGGTGCGCAGAGGATAGGTATGACCCCTTATCCGACCTAACACCACCTGCACATAAATCTCTTAAGGCCATGCCACCTCACAAGAGATGCAGCTTTCTACGTGCTCAGCTACGCGCGGCTTGCATACCACCCGACGTATCCGGGGCCAGCCTACACCAAAAGCACGTCTTTGTCGGATTCTATTAACAGTATTACCTGCATTATGCATTCCATCTGATAGACCAAGTTTTATTCTCTTTATGTGTACCCAAGACATGCTCCCATAACATACTGCTTTCCATCATCGTCGTCCCATTCCCCGACCCAACCCGACCCGACCAGTCCAATCACCACCCTACAAAAACCAGCACCAACCTCCTAAGCGAAAACCCCACCCTTCCACCCACCATCTAAATCCCCTTAGCCCCGCTTCCCCTCCCAAAATCCCAGCTTTAACCCTTCGCTTCCCAGAATGTGCATGTGTATCTATTACATGTGCGAACAGTTTCTTATCCGTCGTGTGAGTCTATTGACTTCGTTGGTTCCATGGTTTGACGGATGGGGCCCGCTGGCGCAACGGTAGCGCGTCAGATTCCAGAGCTAAGCTAGCTGGAGTTTCCTGAAGGTTACCTGTTCGAATCAGGTGTGGGTCAGATTTTCTTTTGCTTCAATTTTTTTTTTTGATAATTTGACGGTCTTGGGCTAGGCGAGAGGACAATACTGGTAATGTTCCGGCTCTTTTGCATTGGGATTAACCTAGCCACTTCGTAGCGCGCGTTCACTTAGGGCCTGTTTGGCTGCTCCGGTAGTGGCTCCGATAGTTAACGCCGTTTTGAAAACGGAGTGTAATCGGCGACGTGTTTGGTTTTAAACATCTAATAGGAGAGTAAACGGAGGTAAAATTTATTAGTAATTGTCTGCTAAAATAAATCTTGCTAGACTATAACACGGGCTAGATTTAACATCTTGCGTTTCTAATAGCATAACTTATTTTTAGAAGTTAATTTTACTATTAGAGGCGTTACGTGCCTCCTGTTATTATTGCTCTCTATCTAAGATTTTTGTTAATATAGATCCCTAAAGGCGTGCTATTAGCATAGCTATCGTTAGTGCTCTGAGCACTATTACCACCATATTATCCAAATACTATACTAACAAGAAGCGTCTAATAGGTATAAATAAGCGGGATACTAATTAACGGCGAGGTACGGCGTGGTTGAGAGACTGTATAAGCAACCACTAGCAGCTTTTTAAGGAGTTGCGACTTTAGCTAGAGGCATGGGAAAAGCTCCTTCGGTCTGTGATAGATAAGCAACTTATTAAGGACGGCAACGTCTCTATAGAGGAGAAACTACTCACGTTTCTATATATATGCTCTAATAGGGCGTCCTGGCGTAACTATCGAAAAAAAGTAGGCCACTCTATGGAGACTATTAGCCGGAACTTTCATAAAGTCCTCAACGCCATGCTGCGCCTGTATAAGATCGTCGTCAAGGGCCCATCGATAGAGGTCCCTGAGCAGGTTGCGGAGGAGAGCAGATTTTGGCCCTACTTTAAAGACTGCATAGGAGCGCTGGACGGCACGCATATCCCGATATTTGTGCCCCAGAGAGACCATAAGAGATACCGCAATCGGTATGGAGACCTGACTCAAAACGTCCTCGCTGTTGTGGACTTTGATATGAACTTCTTATACGTGTTGGCAGGCTGGGAGGGGAGTGCCCATGACGGTAAGGTGCTCCAAGACGCCTACACCAAAGGCTTTGAGGTGCCTGATGGGAGATACTTTCTTGCCGACGCAGGGTACACCAACAGCCCGCAGCTGCTCACACCATATCGAGGTGTCTGGTATCACCTTCGGGAGATCAGGGAGGTGGGCAGAGACGCGAGGACACCTAGGGAGCTATTTAACTATTGCTACAGCTCCCTAAGGAACGTTGTTGAGCGTACCTTTGGTGTTTTTAAGCGGCGTTGGCGGATATTTAATCGTCCTCATGAGTTTGATATTGAAACACAGACGAAGCTTGTGTATGCCCTAGTGGCGGTCTATAACCTGATCAACTCTGTGTACGCTGTGGGAGACGATGTGGAAGAGCTAGAGGAGCACGAACGTGAGGAGCTTGACGCGGTGCAACAAGACGCTGAAGATCGCAGAAATCTGGCTGCAGAAGAAGTCAGTATGGACGCAAGAAGGGAGCAGATAACAGAGAGCATGTGGAACGATTACCAGCGAGCGCGGCAGGTCCTAGGCGTGTAGGAAGTGGGAGAAGGTGTGGGAGAAGGTGTGGGAGAAGGTGTGGGAGAAGGT